TGGTGGTTGTTTCATCCAAATTGGTTCGGTACATCAAAAGTTATGATCAAAAATGTGTAAAACTCTTAATGTTAACACCATATTTTCCTGAATTAAATACTTTTCAAAATAAGTTAGAGAAACATATAATTTGTGAAAAGCACTATAATCAAATTTTTGTGAAAGATACTTATTTAAACTATTTAAAAAATAGATCGTCATATTATCCAAGAAAGCAAAGTTGCAATTTTAATACCTTAAATTTGAATGATATACAAATAGAACCTTCAACAACTATCGATATTAGAATTCAGGTAGAAGTAGATAATACTAATAGTGATCTTTTAATACAAATCAGAATTTTAAAAAATTCTCTCAATGTTCTTGCAACTGACAATTCTAAATAATCACAAATTATTGAAATTAAAAATAATAAAATTTATGAATTAGAATACGAATGCGAATATCTTAAAAAACAAATTGCTGATTTTAATCTTAGATTAGAAAGTTTAAATTTATATAAAAATAATGTAGAAATATTAACAAATGAAAAAAATAAGTTAGAAAATGAAAATATATACTTAAAAGAACAATAGAATGAACGGTATAGTACTTAACAAAAGCAAATAACAGAAGTTGCTACAATAGCTTTATTAGAATGAAAGCTTCTATATGATGATATTATTTATTTAATTAATAATTGTGATCAGTTTTATTTAGAAAATTTATTAGTATATAATCCTTTAAATTGGCTTAAGTATCGTAATCCTGTAATAGTAAAATTTATCGAAGTACTTACTGATAATAATGATGAGCAATTATATCAAAAGAAAATTTTTAAATGTATAGCGGCTGTAGATGCTATTTATAAATCACAGCATAGCAAATATGTCTCTGAAATAAATCTTGCTGCATCAGCAATTAAATATACTATTGCTCGATCAAAAACTATAATAGATATTAATAATCATATTACTAGTAGAGGAGGCTATACAAAATTTATTAATTGGATCGAAAGTTTAGCAATCGAGCCTAAGCCCTTACTAGATGGATTTTTAATTTTGGCCTTTGATAATGAACAAAAAGGCCAAAAAAACTATTTAGATCAAGGTTATAATATGGTTGTATTCCATACAGTAACAAGCTTTGTAGGCTTTAATTTTGATTCAAATAATGATTGTCAATTAAAAATTGATCTGTAGAAGAACAACTCACTTCTTGAAAATGATATCAAACAATTATTTTATTTAAACGATAATATGGAAAAAGTACTTAAAATAGAGCTTCTTGAATTTATTAATGAAATAATAAGTAACCTATATTCTGAAAAAAATTAAAAAGTAAATGAAATAGATAAACTAGTTGAAAAGCAAAACAGCTTATCTAATAAAAATAAACAATGTTTAAATTGTTTCGAATCAGAAATTGATAATAAAAAATAAAATTGTCCTAAATGTAATACTAAGTTACCAATGCTTGCTTCAATAAGTCAAGCTTTATCTTTTCAACAAACCATATTACCTAAAAATATAGATAAAACGTTAGTGTTTAAACTATATGAACCTAAACAATCTAGTATTAAAGTGCAAAAACCTAAAATTAGTATAACACAAAGAACT